GGGCTTCCAAATGCTTAGAGCCAGAATGTGTAGCAGCAGCACTTCTTGCCTTACACACGAGCTAGCAGATTGGTGGCTGCTGGAAACACTGGACCCTTGAGTTAAATGAAAGGGCCAGTGAGTTGATTCCATATTCTTTATTCTGTCACAAGTCCCACTTATTAAGGGCTCTTACAATATCTGGCACTATTTTAGGCATTTTGTGATGGCCCTACATCTGAATCTCATGTAGCAATTCAAAGAGCTATTCAATCCCTTGTTACAGCCAAACCCCTTGCCAGCAAGCCATGTCTTGACTACATTATGTACTTATTGGCAGATGGAGTTCAGGGATTTCTGTGAAATTGTGAAGGCAAAAGCACAGGAGACCCAGGAGGGCAGAGCTAAGGGAGAAAAACAGATAAATATGTCTCGAGGGCAACAGAAAACAGAGGTAAATCTAAAACAAGTTTAAAAAAATCTACAAATTGGGAGATTCGGTATTTATAAAAGAATCCAAGTTTCTCATTAATAAAGAGTTTTGGGGTATTTTTTTTAAAGAGAAACAATAACCCTCCCCCCCAAACAAAAAAAAAAGCACGTAACTTTACCGTAAATTCAGTCTAAACTGTTGTAAGCATTTCTAAACAATTTGTGTTTTCGTTAGCTTCCCAGGCAGATACCTTAGTTTACCAGTCACATTCACTTAATCTTGTATTGATTTTCTAAGAAACTTGCTGTTTCTATGACTACCCTAATCAATTAACTTCTTGTAAGTAACAAGACAATTTTCTCTTTTTCTTTTCTGACATATGAAGGCTAAATACTTTCTTCCTTTTTCTTTTTACCACCCTGAATACTTTCCTTCCACACAAAAAAATCTGATGTTATGCCTTACCTATTAAAGAAATACAATTTGTTGGTAAAAATGGTTGCTGTCTTTTATATTTGAAAACATTTGAAGATTTTTGCACAGAGAAAGCATACAAACTTGCCTTGGACCAATATTATGAATGGTTTATCACTTTTGTTATATTAATAAAAGGTATCTTTGGTGATCAGCAAAGTGGCTTTCTGTTGGCCTCCATGCTTTATCCTGGAGAACTGGGAGGCTGATAGTCACTTAAGGAATGGCTCACTGGAAAAAGAAAATGGTTGTGCCATATGGTGTCAAAAAGGTCCAAAGCCACAGGCAGCCATTTGTGACTTCTTTAGTTGGAATTGTACTGGCCATTGCAATAAATAAATTTAACCTATATTAATATGTGAGAATGTGAGTATTGGTGGAAGAAGTCACTTTGATCTCAGCCTACCTACTGTTTCTTAGACACAGGCCTGGAAACAATAGAAACACAATTCGTGAAAGACATTGGCCTTTGGAGTCAGACAACCAAAACTCAAACCTTGAGGTCAGCTGAGAAAATTTGATTAAGCATCTTAGACTCCTTAAAGTTTCATTTCGTATCTTATAAAATGAAACTATTAGAATTATTTCAAAGTTAATGTGGGGTTCTCCAGATCTAACTTCTCTTTCCTTTGATCTAATGGCTCTTTCCAAAGCAGAGAAGTGATTAGGACACTTTTCTGTCCCAAGCCTCCATGTATTTGGAAAGCACAAACCACACCATAAAGCATGCAGTCTTTTACGCCATAGAGCCAGATTTCAGCCTGCCTTCCCAGGCTCACCTATGGTTATTTTCCAATTCACTTCTCATTCTAGCCATGTCAAAACAGATTCATCCTGTACTTTCAGCCCCCTAGAGCTGCATGATTATTCAGAGTACGTCCCCAGTGTTGCTGTGATCAGTATGCCCTTACTGTTTTTGTCCACTTAGCAAACTTTTGCTCAACTCTCAAAGCCAAGGATGTCTCCATAATCCCCACCTTTCCAGCTATGCCTGGAGGTTCTTCCAAAAGAAACAAAGATTAAATTTCACCAGGTGAAACATCTCATTTTTTGCTTCTACCATGAAAATGTATTTTATTTGCCATCCAACATAAAAATATCTAGATACTATTTAACTACAGAAAAATTATAGATAAGAATACAGTCTGTGTATCTATAGTCTGAGCACCAAAAGAATACTATGATAATATTCAGATTCCCAAAGTCAATCAACTTTAATTCATCACAGTTTATGTAGTCACTGACTGTGAGAAAGGCAGTGCACATCCAGAAAAATATGCCACCTGAAAAAATGAGCTGATCCAGATCAATTATTTCAATCATTGCTATTACCTGCCAGGTACAAGATGTATCATTTCCAATATGATAAAACTTGAAAATTGGTATAAATGAGTAGACCGAGATTCAAACAAGTGCCCAAGTATTTGATGCGTGGTAGGGTTGCCATCCACATCCTGATCTGTCTGCCTCTAGAACATTTTGTATTCTACCTTTCCACATTGTCTCTTAATTCATCTCATACTATATTTATGTACGGACTTATAATAGTGGTTCTTGTATCTTTATACAAGGTATCAGGTGCTATCTCTAGCCAGGTCACTTTAAATACTCTTTTGCTTAAGAAAAAAGTAGGTTCATGATTTGGATTGATAGGTTATAGCCAACGCAAGAGAAAGAGAGACAAGGAGTCTTCAAAACAGAGTTACATCCCATTTATAATGCACGTAAGTTTTCTCTCTAGCTGTCAGACTGGTAGCCTTTCTTATTTTTAGTTCAATTCCATATGGTATTCTGTACGTTCGCCTAAATAAAAGTGACATGATAGCAGAATTATAGCATACGTTCTAATTGACTTATTTTAAATCTTCTCATTTCTTCATTTTCCTGACTAGGTTAACTAGAAGGGCTTTACTACTGTTGTGGAGCTGGTGATCTTGGTATGGTGGTGGCTGTGTTTAGCAACCTAAAACTGTGGGTGTATCTTTACTTCAAACATTTTGTGGTCATACATTGATCTTGAAAAAATGTTTATTTATATTCTGAATGAAACATATAGTGGTACACAATATTTCTCATATAGTAAATGCAAAGTAAAATAGAAACTTGATTTAAAAAGTCAGAAAGTGTTACTTCACTATGAGACTAAATATGAGATCATGCATGTCACAGCAGAACATTTCTAGCAATTCTATATTCGTATTCAAAATTACCATTGTTTTTAGATACACATATGTAGACACAGATGCAGATATAGACACAGACATAGGTATAGATGTAACTATATAGCATTAAAAAGTCAATTCCAACTGAAAACAAAAATGAGTTTAAAGGTTAGCAACACATCAAATTTATTCCCAGGAAGAGGTTTCTTCTTGTAAGTGGCTTCTTAATTAGGAATCAGGAAAAATCAATCCTGCTTACTCTATCTTGTGTTCTGAGAAAAAGGAGAAAGAGACTGAGGCATTTGTGGGGAATAGAGAGAAGGCAGCTCCAAATGTGCAGCCAGCACAGGCCCATGCAGCGATGGGGATTATTTTCTTCTCTAGACATATGCACAGAGGCTTAATCTAAGTGTAGTTCCTGTCGTGTTTACATGTGGCACTTAAAAAACTTCTGATAGTGGTTATGGCTAACAAGGAAGCTCCCAAACATCTCCGAGTTGTCAGTTTGTTCTCCTGCAATGACTTATCACATTATTATTAAATAACTCCATAAAGTAGGTTGGAAAACAGCAAGATACTAAGTCTATTCTTTAAGTTTTTTTTTTTTAATTTCTTGGGAAAAAAATATGAGTTCTCCAGTCCTTCATGGAACTGAAGGCCTAGCTTAGCCTTAGTGCAAAGAGAAGACACAGGTTAAACAGGGATAACAATTACAAAAGGCTAGGTTACTATTCTGTGTTAGGTAACACAGTGGGTGGTAACCAATCTTGTTCACAAACTGAAGAACATCATATACATTGCTGGAAATAGGGCAAAGTTAGGACTGATTCTATATGACATGTACATTTACAAACATGCATTATCTTGTGCTCTCTACCATTCTGTATTAACTGTTCCTGTGAAGTTTTCAAAAAACATTGTTTAGGATAAGACAGGAGCAAGGCTGACTCACCAACAGCAAGTCAGGAAGCCTACATCAGGAAAAACCTATATGAAGAAGAAACATCAGTGTGTCTTATTCAGTCCAGAGGCAGAAATCAAAGATTTCCAGCACCTAGAAAAGTGACCCATTTTTAGGAGGTCAGCTGTCATCAATTTAGGTGTGTATAGATGCAGTCAGAAATTACTAATGAGTAAAGATCTAGATGACTTGTGCTTATTCAACATTAACGCCCTGGTCTAATGAATGACGTCACTCAAGGATTAACTTGCAAATATTTTTTACAAGTTTAAAATCGATTCCGTAAGTATTATATGCAAAGTAACATAAAGCAAAGAGAGAGAATAGAAGGACGTCCTGGAAGTTAAAAACAACTTGACAAAAGCAGATTTATGACAGACTACTAAATAATAATATATTTCCCATCTTCTAATTCCCAAGTAGTTAAATATTATTCACTAGAAGAAGCTCCATTCCCATATAAATTCCATGTGACAGCTCTTTCCACTCACAAAAAAAAAAAAAACCCATGAAGTCTAAAGAAAATTTCAGAAAGATGGTCTTTGTAACTTAGAGACCAAAAAACATATTGATCGACGTTCCAACAGCTGAACATATTGCTGATCAGATCCCAAATTCACCAGGTTAAATCAAATAATGAAGAAAATATTTAGCTAATTAATGTACGTGGAAAAGAGAAACAAAAAACAAGCCTAAATAGCTAATCATTACAATCTAAAAAATGCTGCTTGTTCTGATTTTCAAGATTAAAAATCTCAGTTTATTACTCGTATTTATGTTTAGACAGTGAGCACTGTATCAGTGTCACAAACTCTCATCCTTCAGTGTTTCTTCTATAATCCTTTGTTCAGTTGGTATTTTAATGTTTGTGCTCAACAACCACAATTATTTTTGCTTTTGTTATTCTGTAAATAAGACATCTTGTTATTCTAACATATTAGACAAAAGAAGTCAAACACAAGAGACCAAGGAAGTAGGTAATTTGCATAACCTACCTGTAGGCCTTCAATAGCTAATCGCAGCATACTTGGTGTGAGTTTAGAGGCTTGCTTGAAAGTGAAGTTACTCCAGTCTATGATCAAAACAAATCCATTCACTTGAAGCTCAGGATCTTCAATCATGGCTTCTAAAGAAAGTAAGATGGCACGCAGTATATCCACCAGTGTGTACCTATCCGCAACAGAAAAGTATTAAATTAGGTCTGACAACCACTTTTATAAGAAACTATAAAACATTTTCTAGCACACTAAAAATTCACTTTAAAATATCTTCAGAATCTTAAGGAAATAATTTTGTTTAAAAATCTATTTTAGGCACAGATTTAATTTATATGTACTTGAGGAACATAATCGAATTTAACATGTATTCTGCCCAAACATATGGCAGTTCTTTCTCATATTTTATAACCATTTAATTTACCTCAAGGCCTTCTTATGATTTTCTGAAATTACCTCTAGGCCTTCTTATGATTTTCTGAAATCTCATTCAACTAACCCAAAACTAGGCATCACACTTTTTGAGTGGTTCAGTAATGCCCCAGTAATACTGACATTTCGTATCTTCATATTTGAAAAAACTGAGAATGACATTTGAGTAAGTATCATCAATAAATGAGAACACTGTGCACGACAGCTATGGATAAAAGTTACTCAATTCAAATTAATTGTATTGAGTTTGATCATAAAGAAAAGGAAAGGTAGAAGTGATAGAAAGAGAGGGAGATGAATATAATTAAAAGTGGGAAAAGTCATGGAAATTAACCTACTATAATACAAGCCATCCAAATTCCAGGGTTGGATTTTTTGATTTGTTTTGTTTTCTTCTTTCATCTTAGTACAGTTACTAGAACATTCCACTAACACAGTAAATGCTCTTTATATTCCTGTAAAAGGGACTTGACTACAGTAGGAAGACGCTGGTTGGAGATTAAGACATTGCTTCAGTGAAGGGAATGAAACCAATAACAAAAATAAGAAGCCAAATTCGAGTGGCATTTTAGACAATCTTATTATACCATGACAATGTGAGAACTGAGATTAGGGAAGAGTAAAAAGTCACACAAATATTTTAGCTTTGGAGCCTGAATGCATGGAAAATTTTTAATCAATGTCAATACTGCAAAAATGAGAGACTGTTGGAAATGGCTGAAAATATAAGTTTTGAATAGAACTTATTGTATTTGAGAAACATATAGTATACTCAGAGAGATATATCAAGCAAGCTTCCGAAAAACATGGATCCTAAACTCAGGAGAGAGCTCAAAACTGAAAATTCTGGAATCAAAAGCATATAGAACCTAAGTTCAAGGAAGTGAAGGAGGTAATGCAGTCAGAGCAGAGAGAAATATCAGATAATTATTTTAAAAAGGGAATTCATAGAAACACCAGTATTTTAAGAGGAGTCAGAAAATTTATGGAAGAAATTTATGAAGTTAACAATTTCTATGCATTTTAAGTTTTTTCCCCTGACACATTCAGGGGAGATTTCAGGAATAGCTAGAGAAAAACATCTGGACCTCAGGGAAAAGGTAGGATGGGGAGGAGAGTGGATTAGAGGTGGAAATAATTCCCAGTTAGTGGAAATGATGGTCTCATTAGGAAGATAGTATGATACTATCCTACGATAGTGTCATAGGATACTATTCCTATGGTCTCATTAGTGAAGACATACAAGGGAGTAGGTCCATTTTTACTTCCAAAACCACTTGGAGGTGCTAGGAGAATGCCTAGTATTTCAGAAAGGAAAGAATAATTAACATTAGAACTTCGGGCAATTTCTCATCATTTCAGGACCTAATTTCTTCATCTGTAAAATCGGCAGTTTGGAAGATAATCTTGTTTAGAATCCTAGCATTAATCAAGCACAGGGCATGGTGTCAGAAGACTTCAAGATGCAATCTCTGCCCTGTGCCTCATTAGCCATATGGTCTTAGATATGTCACTGATTTATAATTCTGAGGATCAGTTAACTATCCCTATCTCACGCTATTCTCACTATCTACTGCTGTGGTTGAGGGAGGGTTGGGGCCAGCACCAGAGAGTCATCAAAGAGATGAAAATATTTGTACAACTTTGCACAATACTAGGTATAAGCAGGTGTTCAGTAAATGTTGGTTGGAATACACACATAGCATACTTTTTGTTACAATGGTATCCATATAGTGTACTAGGCAGAGTACAAATCAGAAATGATAATCTTTAGTATAACCTATTGCTATTATAAAAGGCAACAGCCAAAAGTCCTAGGGATATGGCATCCAAGAAACTACCTGAATATATAAAATAATAAAACTTTTATAGAGTTCTACTATGTACTTGTTATTAAATCTCTGAAACATATGTGGCTGAACACCTTTAAAAGTCACTTTATGGCTGGCCTACCTCCATTTTAAACATAATGGCCTGACACACTATTAGATACTGAAACCTATAAACATACACACTGGAAAGTTGAAACACGAAGACTGTATTTCTGGTTGAAATTCAGACCCCAACCAAAAAAAAAAAAAAAAAAGAAAGTTTTACTTTCTGAAATTCATAATATCGTGGTAAAGAAAATTAAGAATTTGAAAAGTCCAACTTCAAAGGTTTCCCTCATCATGAGGTTGGCCATTCTTATGTTACCCATAAGAAATCAAATAGCATTAATACCAAAATGCCATTAAATAAAATTTGAATTTGAAATCAGCTTTGGAAGGATGAGACATTGTATATAGTAAAGATTAATCAAAGTACCACTAAGGACTGAAAACAAGAGGGAAGGTGTTTTAAATAACACACTTGAAGTATGGCTCCCCTAAACTGTTTCAAAATCAACATAAATGTTTATATGTATATCATTATTCCAAATGAAATAATATAAGGCAAATCCCAAAACAGCAATAAAGAAAAGTAGGTTTGCAAAATTTTCAAAAATGAGTCTAACCACCTTTTTTGAATTCAGTATCTGGCTCCAAGAAGAGAATCAAACGATTTTATATAAATCATATTAATGTAGAATTTCAGAAAAAAGAAACATAAAAATGTACTAGCTAACTGCATTCAATGGGCAGGTCAAAACCACTCTTGACTTAACTCCAGTCCTCTATTGACAAACATCTCACATTATTATCATTAGCAGCTCAGCAGGCTATTCCTCAGCAGAACAGTACTACACAGAATCTTGCCAAAACCTGTAAAATATCTTCCAAAGAAATGCAGCATCTATTAATTTTATCTTTTCAGGACTCCTGCCATACTCTCCTTTTTAAAATTATTTTAACTGTTATAATATACAAATTAGAGGTCACTACAATGAAATATTCTACATGGTCATGTTTAGGATTTACATTGAAATTGTGTGAGTTCCACCATTGCTATTATTCTCTGTATGCTGAAAGAAAGTCATAAATGAAAACTAGCACATTATTTTAGCTCTTGATTCCTGATTGTGCTTCCCAAAATAGCATTAAGTAAAATTTGAATTTGTGAAAAGAATGCTGTGTATGTGGTAAGAAGAAATCATGACACAGATAAGAAATTTTACAACTGACACCAGATTATGTAGACCACTGCTCTTGAAAAGAATCAAAGCTGCTAGAACACACTGGCAACATATGGGGAAGACTTTGATACCCACAGCAACTATGTACTACCTGTGCAACCAGAATGAAAACATCTAATCCCTCTTGAAATTTTTCAGTTATGAAATCAGTCTCCCCTGCAGAGTAGGATATATATTCATGACTTAATTATTTGGGCACATTTATGTAACTTATAAGTCTTTTTTAACGTAAAACTCGCAAGTATTAACAAATATCAAAGAAAAAAAAATGAGGATCTTTGATTATTCTTCTAATCTTAGCTTGTTCTCACAAACCTTGAAGTTACTGAACTTTGCTGAACCTCCATTTTCTCTTATAAAAATGGTGATACTAATAGTTACCTCGTAGAACAGAATGTAAAATAGCCCAATGGGCATCACCCAGCAAACGGTAAATGTTAACTTCTATGACTACTACAATTGTATGACTTTTGCTCTTTCAACAATCACATATTCTATACTTGCTTTTTGTAGTTTTTAACCACTTACTCTTAACTTCATAGAATTGTGAGGACAAAAATGAAATAAAATAATACATGTAAAGTTTTTAACAGTCCTTGACGTATAATAGAAATGACATATATTTGCTGCGATCATTGCTGTTGAAACTCTTCTATTTGGTTCTGTGACGCTACATTGAACTTTTTCTCCTTCCACTTTTCTGGTCACTCTATTATCTTTCATCTTTGGTTCCCTGCTGCAATCATCCAAATGTAGAAATAAGACTTTTTTCCCTGTTGTCATCCTATAGTAGCTCCTAGAGTTACCGAATCATGCACTTATCCCCTTGGCTAATACATTGGTGACGGCTCGATGTCCCCAGAGCTAGTGTCAGTCCTGTGCAACATCCTCATCTTTCTAGTTCCCATCTGAACATCAGCACCTTAGTGACTCCTTGCTACCTGAAATATGTTAGTGTAACTCAATTTAGTGCCTCCTATTTTCTTCTGGGATTGCCTACATTAATTAATTAATGAAGAATCATTCTCAAATATTCCCTTTCTTTCTCCCTCTACATTTATTCACCAAGTCCTAAATATTTTTCTGGCCTTTTATATTTATACATTTTTGGCATCTAACTCTTTCTACTAGAATCTTAGCTTTATTTCCTAATATAATGGTACTTGTGTGTCTTTTTCTTTCTCTCTCATCTTGCCTAACCTCTATTGTGAGATTAATTGTCCTAAAACATTAATTGGCCTGAAAAATTGTCCTACACACAACACTACTCCCCCATGGCTCTTTCAAAACTGCACCATTCCCTTAATAGCCATACTTCTTATTTTGTACACCCATGCACAGGGTCATCCCAGCCATCAAGGTCATGTCATATCCAAGCCCCAACAAGCTGGTACACTCAGATGCTTTATCTTCATTTAAATCCATAGAGAATACCCCCCTTTCTGTTCACCTCACCTAAGTTTTACCCTTCTTTGGGCCCACCACCAGCTTGGCCTGCTCTGCAAAATTGTCTTTACCTGCTGGATACCTCAGCGTCCTCTCTCTCTCCTAATCTGAATTCTAGTGCTTCAGTGTTTGTTCTATAGCCCCAGACATATAAGCTTAGCTTAAAACTCTTTCACTGTTTG